GTAAAAAAAAGTTCTTTATGACGTAAATCTAAAACTAAAATTTTCACATTTATCCAAGCACGACTGCTGTCATTAAGAAGACAAGTAATATCGAGTAGCCCTTCTCGCGTTAGAATCAAAAGCGACATGTCACGCAGTGAAAACGCCTCTATATAGTTACAAACAACTCTTCTCACCAGGGACTGGTTACTCCTCTCAGCAAGACAGGCGAAAACGTTACGTCACCCTCGAAGTTTTATGGCGCCTGAAATACGGAGAACAAAATTGAAATTTCAATTAGTATTCAACATTCACCATTAGTGCATGGTGAATGTCGGTTAAGTCAGAAATAAGGATATTTGGTAAATATTTTGGACATGCACCGAGCGACTATGTGAATGTTGACAATCACCGGTGAATGTCGGCATTCTCCAAATCTCGGTCTTTCATAGTACCATGTATATACATATATATATATATAAACACACCTTTAATGCCTATTATATATACGTTTGGTACTGCTGATTGCAATAAAAAAGGAGGAGCACAACTAGAGGTTATAGTCTCATATACAAAATTTCAATGTTCTACGACTAATCGCTTTTAAGTTATGCGAGATACATGCATATATACGTACACTGAGCCAAAAAAAGGGGGGATAGTTCTATATATCTCGTTTATTAGGCGATTGACGAAATTCAAATTGCGTTTTTCATGTCTCGAAAGCGCGACTTAGGATATATATTAGATTTATATATAGCATCATTCAAACTTGGGTATTTTGACGTAAAATCGGACTTTTTCTGAAATGACATGCAGTTGTTTTCCATATTTCGGTTCTACGATTCAACTTATGCCTAAATATTAAATTTTGTAAAATTTTGTGCGGAATTTACGGAGAAATTCCAAAATTTATCTTGGCGTATTTTTTCAGTTTTCGCCAAGAAATATTTACTTGGTGAACTTTTAATTTATAGCAAACTATTTTCCCTTAATTTTTTTTTCATTGTAGACGAGCGGAAAAAAGCCATCGTTCATCTTTGCAAGTAATTGTAACAAAGTGCGTATTATCGTTTGACGTTACTATCGCTCAAAAAAAAAAAATGCCAAATTTCAAAACCCTCCAGTATGTAAATTCATGTGTATCTTAGAACATTTTAAGTAAAAAAGTATAATTTTTGGCAGATGTACCTAGAAATACATCTACTTTAAGATGATGTTAAAAATTTTATAAGTTATAATACAAAATGTTTCGAAAATTTATAAAATATTTAAAATAAATCATAAAAAAATATGCGAATTAAATTTGGATTAAGCCTAAGTTTCGAATTCTGGAAGAAGGAATCAAGTAAGTTTAGTTTAAAAGAGATATTAACAAATATATATCAAATTGAATTAACATTGAGGAGCTAAAATTTTGAGAGCTAATTTTTTTAAAAATCTACTCGTGCGATTTGTACAAAACTTGGCAGTTTGGCGTAATCTGAGTCGTACAAACCAAATATAGGAAAAAATTGGCATGTCATTTCAGGATAAGTCCGATTTTGTGTCAAAATACCTATATTAGAACAAGGCTATACATAAATCTAATACATATACTAAGTCGCGCTTTCGAGACATGAAAAACGCAGTTTGAATTTTGTCAATTGGCTCAATGGAATGGGAGATATAGAACTGCCCCCCTTTTTTCGCCCAGTGTACGTACGTTCGTAAGTACTTAAAAGACGTCACAAAAGTCCCTTTTAAATACGCCCACCAGCAGCCGAGCGGTAACTTCGCTGAACACTGGTACTTCGGTCCGAGGTTCGAATCCTCATACATACATAATCCTATATACATACATAATAAGAGTTTATATGTAAGGTTTTACTTCAATTTTATAATAGTTATTTTTATTTTGGAACCAGCCTTTCCTTTAGCTTCTATTTTTATACCTAGGTTTCATTGTCAGAATAGGTTTTCAGGATTACGATTTAGGCAAATAGGGCAGAAACGAGTATTTAAGTTGAAGTCTGTGTTACTTCAGCAGGACAGCGTGTTCTACCTTTCGGCCACGTTACTGCTATTAGATTAAGCTTGCTATTCCACGGCCGTACATTAAACATGCCTGCTAGTATACGCCGGTAATCCTTTAATAAGCGCCAACTACGCGAGTTGATTCTGTGCCGCTTGTGCTGATTAATTTTATTTAGATGTAGATTAGTTTATATTTTTTATTTTGAGCTAGGCTTCTTTTACGCCCGACAGGGGCAAATTTTTAATTCATTTTGAGTTAGAATAAAGAGTATTTCAACCCTTGTTGGACATGTTACTTACGGTACAAGAACTCAGGGAATAGTTGCTACATAGTTTGTGAATATTCTATCTTCCAGAGAACTCTAGTCTAGCTAGGATACTACACACATATATATATAATTAGTCTAACAATAAATATCTGACAATATTTAATATCAGTTTATTGCTGTTCTAAAAAGAATATTTAATAGGCTGTACAAAGCAGTTTTGTGGTGTTTACACTTTTATATCTAAAAATGATAAAGGTTTATAATTCCGAAACACAAAACCTAAAATTATTTTTAATTATAATTATTTCAATTATTTTTAATAATTTCGTTAATTAAGAAGATATAAAATTAATAAGTCAGAGAAATGAATAATAAGAGCTTTTTCAACTCGATTATCATTAGCCATTTCTGTAAGAAAAAACAACAATAAAAGTAATCATGCAATGTAAATTGAAAGGCTCAATGGGGAAAAAAACTCCACAAATTTATGAGAGAATGAAATGCATGAAAATCTCCTTCTCGGCTAGAATATTGATGCCTCACAGTAATTATTAAAAGTCACTTAAAATTATATTACATTCCTGAGTGCAGTGTTTAAATAGTAGAGATAAATGATCGAAAGTCAGTAAATGTTGGCAATAAATGTTAGCGAAAATAATACGTATAAACGAAGTTAGGGTGTATATCGTTTAGGCGCCTAACATATCTATGGAAAAATACTTCAAGAATCCGAGTTAAATTCAGTATTAAAAATAGTTGTATATAAATGTTGCTTGATTGGGAAGTCATCAGTTTTTCCTAATGTTTTTACATTACAAAGGATATATGGATTTTAACTGGGAGACATGTTGGGAATTTTCATTCTGCCCTAGTGTGCGTGCAACTTGTATCTATTTTGCGTCTTTTGTTTATTTTTAGGGAATGAGATTATACTATGATTGAAATTCTAATAATAGATGTTCCAAACTGCGTCATTGTGTAACACAGTTTAAAAACCTAGAACATAAGAATATACCATCGTTTACACTGGCCCTTGAACTATTATATTTCAATAACCTGTTCAACACATTTCAAGACCACGGAATTTTAAACTTTGTAGCTGAAGATATTGGAAAATATAAATGTTGTTTCAGAACTATTATTCAGAAATGTCCATCAAAGTCCGGAACATGATAACAGGAAATAATCATACAGGAACATACGGACGCATGCGCAAACCCGACTCGTAAGAAGGCCTGAATGTCGGAGCTGAACTATTTTTTTTTCGGAGGCTACATGAAAATCCTAGTACACGAAAACTTTGTGGAATCGAATATGAACTTAGTGGCACATACCAGTGCTAAAAACGCTAATGTTGTTGACTCGTCTAGCATACTTAGAAACGTTCATCGATCGATGTCCCTTCGTTGAGAAGCGATACCTGTATCTATCAAGAGGAGCGATACATTACATCTGCAGGCCTCAGCTTCGGATACCTGCTTTAACAATTGGTTTCAATCAATATGTTTTGCATATACTTCTTTGCGTAATAAATCCTCTTTATTTATGACATGTTTTGCGTCTTTGTGAGAGTGTAGCACGTCGGAATTGCACATACGCCCCTATGTTTCTATATGATTATTGCCTGTTTTCTGTTCCAGACCTCACGCACATTTTTGAACAATAATTTTCAAACACTTTGTGTTAGATAGAACATATTCGAGATTAAAAAAACCTACCGAATACCTCTACAACATTATAAAATGGAAGATCGACATCAAAGTTTGCACCAGAGAATGAAGGGGGAAGAGGTTTGAAGCCTAAATAGGCCTTGTGTCCATTTCCACATTCAAATGACCTAAGTCTAGCAATGCTAGCTGTTATAGCGTTGGGTCTGGGTTCGAATCCTCAACTATTGTTCAGAAGGTATATATATATATATATGTTTGCAAATGCAAAGTGCCTGCACGACAGCTACTTAAAATACTGGAGACCTGAAATTCTCTTCAAATAGTTTGGTGGTAGGAGAAGAAGAGTGGAAAACTCTTGGATCCGTCTATCGGGGTATTCGCCATCAGAACTGGTGTAGATTTAGTTCGGTGGGTCTATTCCTGTACGACTAGTGATAACATTTTGGTGTCCCAAACCCTACTAAGTCTACCTGTAACTTATACTCTTCTATGAATTTTAAACTATAGTGTTGTTTAAAAATGCATCTTACTGATTTTAAGGAACATTGCTTATTTGGTCCCATTATCAAGACTTGAAGTTACAAATTGTACCTTTTAAGTAGTGCACACGATAAGAGAATGCCGTTTCTAATATTATCGATTTTTAACCTGTCATGTTTGTAATAATTGTCATCAACCTGCATACTTCCCCGAAACGTTTATATCTACTCATTATTAGTTCATTGAATAATAGGTATAGAGATCTGAGTTCCTTTCAAAAGAGTGAAAGCAATTATTATATTTATATTAGAGATTTAAGAAGCTTGAAGGAAAAATAACATTTTGATGTTTTCTACTCTTATACTTTTCTCAACTGCAGCATCAGTTTTAGAAGCATAACTAATCTTCGCATCTGAATCTCAAATGAAAATACAATTACTTTATAATTAAAACTATAAGAACAAGTTATGGTCATAATAAACAAGTTATGAACAATCATTTGTTAGCGTGATTGCATTTAATTTAATAAAGAATGATGAACTTCAAGTTATTGCCTCGAGTAAGAGGTTGGGATAACATTTCTTACGAGAGTTATAACGTTGATGATTCCTCGTGTATGTTTGAAGTAATTCGGATTCCAGTCAAAAAGATCTCTAACTGACAAGGTAGATTCCAGTTCGTTGTTTTCAAGCCCGGATGGACCTGTATTTGCAGATTCAGCATCACTACGTCTCTCTGAGTATTTACTGCTCGATTCCTGCTTGTTTTCTGATGCCGTATCTTCTGCCATGGCTAAAGTTTAAGTCTTCATGTCAGATCTAGAAGAAAGAGAATCAGATCTTTACACACTCTACATTACACAAACCATTACTTTACACATCATACTCTTTACACAAAAGAGAAAGAAAGTTTAAAAAGAAAGAAAATTTGAATTATTCCAGAATAAATTGAACTCGTTAAAACAGCAAATATCATGTAATGTTCTTCGTCATAAATTCGTAAAGGTATTAACATATAAAAAATCCCTCCGTAGTTTGGTAATAAAGTATATATATATATAAGATAAATGTTTTTAATAGAAATATTTTATATAGTAGATCACTTATGTAACTTGACTTATTATAGTCTTGGCTACGATTTCATTTCTTCCAATTATTTTTAGGCATTGAGATATATAAATAACTATTTAAAAATGACTCAAATGTTGATATTTTTAAATTACAGCAATACTGCCGTTTAGAAATATTTATGAAATTTCTGGTGTTAAAGCCATTTTATTACTAATCATCTTGTTAACGAGAATTATGAATATTTTGTTGCACTTATAAACAACATGCTATTAGAATTTGTAAATTGAAGATTCCACTAAAGTGGTAATGGATCTTTCATTTTCGTTACCACCTTCTCCTCTTCCATGATGGAAAAATTTATAGTGATGATTTTAAACTAAGCATTTTATATATTAGCTATTTATATAAGTTCGTGAATTAGATCTATAGAACTTCGTTTCTGAAGAGCAAAAACATGAAATTTACACTATTATCTGTTGCATAACTGCATTCGCATTCGCAGTGGACATGACGAGAAGTGCATACCAGAATCTGTACGCAATCGTTTACAAATCTGAAAGAGAACGATTTTTTAAAATTTCATTTAAGTGAAATTACAGTTCTGAAGGACATTAATCTGGATGTTTAACCGTTTAAGTTAATTTCTATCTTTACAACTTACTTCAGGCTTAAGGTTTGTATGTATTTTAAGGTGTTACTGGTATTTGCTTAATATCGCGGCTCTTTTATGTGAACTTACTTACGTTACTTGTGCATATATACGTAAGTTATAAAATGTGTAAATCAAAATTATAAGTTAAAAAATATGTAAATCAAATTTATAATTTAAATTAGCAACAGTCCTTAATTCCCCCTCTCTATTCTTAAAATCGTAACAACTTTGTTGGACTACGTCATTTCTAGATCATTCCATCTCGTATGGCTTGTGTAATGTCAATGACGTAGCTAATTCAGAACCTAATACAAAATTTCGAGAACTGAAACCTTTCTCTTAATAAACAACCTAAACCAAAACTTACTCTTGGTGAGCTTCCATACTGGATAACTACGCACTTTAGCTTCAGCTATCTTGCATTCGAAACGCTATTTTCCTCGCTGACGTTACGCTCAACCTCTGCTAGCTATTGTTCATGGTTCTAAAAATATAACCTGTATAAAACTGTGGGGTGTATAGCGCACCCCACAATGATGATGTGCAATGAAAAGAATATGCATCCTAAGAATTAGTTATCAAGGAATAAAATTACGTATGGAATTTATGGCTACGGCTGTCTTCGAGTGTCATCTTTCTAATTACGCAGCCTCTACAAGTTATAACCGCAGAGAACCGTCACCAGTCCGTGCAGCTTTCTTTAAGTCATCTTATTACATATCTACATATGTGTGTGTGTAATAATTTTGCGAAGATTCAGAAGAAAATTTAGACACATAACATGACATAACAGTGACATACTTGGCCGAAACAACACATTAATTTATTCTTGGACATTCTTGATAATGCATAAACATGTTCACACATCGTTTTGAGTCCTATAAGCAACCTCCATAATTTTATATAACTGATCACATCGCTAGATTATGTAAAAAATGCGCGTTAGCACAGCGAGATGAATGCAGATGCAAAGTCAATGCGCATTTCAGCAAGGGGTATTTATAATAGAGTTGGCTTCTTTGCTTAAATTTCAGACTGTGAATGAATAAGAGCTATCCGCATTTCAGGATTAATACGATAATATAATGCGGATTAGTATTCCTGATGACCCACTTTAGATTCCAGGAAGGGCACATAGCCACAAATGAGGAGTCAAGGACCATAAATGAGAATAAAATAAGGAATTAAATGATTGTTGCTAAATTAACGATACTAGTTTTCTTTCATATTTTATATCTTACATATCTCCCCTTCAAAGAGAAAAAAGTTTGGTTATAGAAAAACCTTTCTAGAAATAAGCATTAGAGAGTTAGCAAATGAAGACAAATTTTGTGCTATATATACGTATTCTCGTATATATAGGATATGTTTTTCTTTAACGAGAAAGGAAATGATCTTCTCCAATGATACAACCTGTATGTTTACTGTGTTCCGTCATTTTGTTCCTGAACTTTCTCATATTTTAGCATACAAAACGGCACATAAAAATGTAATTCGAAAATATTTAAAAACAAAACCCTATATAATATCCAGATTAAATGCACAGTCCAATTTTAAAAGTTTGTAACTCCTTTTCTCTAAAAATATCTAAGTTTTTAATATTCTTAAAATTTTCTTTCCAAGTATTATAAAAAATTTTCTAAATTCGAATTTTTTTAAGATATAATCGTGAAAATTCACAGTTCTTGAAAATCTTTGTTAGAGTGTCATTAATATAATTTTCACAGTTCTTGTCGTGAAAGTCTTCTATAAAAAACCGTTATAGTCAATATACACCCAATATATTTCCTTTACAATATTCATGAAATTTTATTAAAATGAATTTATTCCTTAGATAGAATTCCACATTTTCTAATCATAAAGCGATGAAAATTCAGCTGTAGACATTTATAAACATACAAAAGTAACAGAATACTATACAAACAATAAAATAATCTTTGATGAAAAATGGGCAGGTACTCTACAAGCGAATCAGCGTAATTACTTGCTGATAGCTGTGGGATGTTTGCGGAATAATATGAATATAATACTTTTTAGTAGAATTTTAATAGTTTAAACTACTGACCATATCAACAGATAACAATCAAAAGGTTTACTTACAGATGGGGGTACTTGTATTAAACTAAATCTCTTTTGTTTACTTTTCTTATTAAATTGACATACTTCACAATGTTTACGATCATGTCTAATATCTTGTATTACTCCAGCTCAATAGTATTGGGATTAATGATAATATTGAAGAGGTAACAAATTTAGCACTTAGGCTGCACCAATATAACCAGTATTCGGTATGAGCTTCTTCAAGTAATTTAGTACGAAGAGATATTGGTGCTACAATTTTATAAAATCTTTCTTTCTTTATAGTAAACACATTATTAATTTTCTTAAACTTGGGGCTATAAACTTTATCCAAGTTTTGATGGTTTTCAATTTCTTTTATTGATAATAAATTAGTCTGAACACACAAATGTTAACAAACAGGATTTTTAGTTAATATATCAGCTTCAACATTAGTAGAACCTTTCTTGTGTTTTGTATCAAAGTCATACATATATAATTTTAAAGACCATCGGAATAATCTACCTATAAGACTTTTTATATTCTTAAGCCAAACTATAATAGCATGGTCAGTATGTACAGTAAAATGACCTCCATGTAAATAATAATAAAATTATCTATAGTATCTACAATGGTTAATTCCAATTCAGTAATTGCATAATTTTTCTCATAAGATCTTAATTTTCGAGAATGGTGAGCTATATGGTGTAAATTCCCATACTCTTGTTTCAAAACTACATCTACAGCTTCTCTAGATGCGTCTACAAATACGACACGGATATTTTGAATTAAATAGTGTTAAAATTGGTCTGGAAATTAAAGCATCTATTAAATTTTGAAATATTGTCTAACGTTTAGTTGCCCATTTAGACTAAGACTGGTGGTCCATTTAGACTAATTTTAAAGACTAAAACTGGTTGTAAATGCAATTGTTTTAATATTTTTTTCATTTAATTTTATAAGCCAATAACCAGATGCTAGATCTAACGCACAAAAAATTTTGCATTCGTTATTTGGTTTGTACTGCATCTCTTCTAGGTCTACTATTTTTGAGTAAATTTATTAGAGGGGTTCTAATTTTTGCATAATTTGGAACAAATTTATAATGCACATTAATGTTTCCAAGAAAGCTTTGTGATTCTTTAACATTTTTAAGGGGTTGTAATTTTTTAATAACTTGGGAAGATTTCTGTCTTTTAATTTACAGCTAAATTGAGGATAGCTTTAGTTCAGTATACAGAGAACAGAACTAGAGAAGTCTTAAATACCCTTTATTATTATTTCCAATTCCTTATTTAAAGTTCACAGACAATTCGTTTTTGAAGTTTTACAATAAAGCCTCCACTCAGGAAACTTTAAAATAAAGTTTAACTAATCTTAACTAAAAATGATATAGTAGAAGCTATCAAGATTCTAACAGAGTTGGCCCCTTAACACTAACTAACGGCGAAGCTATTTTCTTTTCCATATATGTCAAATATTATTTTAAGATGTTCTAAATGCTCCTCGAGATAGTGATTAGTGACTCTGACTGCCGTACCGAAGGGTCCGGGCTCGAATTCCGGAGAAAGCACGGATGTTTGTAAATGTTTAGTGTCTGTGCGTGTGTGACATGGGGACACTCAAACTATGGAGCGAGCCGAAAGCACTCTCGATAGGCTGGTGGTAAGGGAATAGGGGTGGGAGAACCTCCTTCAAAATGTGGGGAGAGAAAGTGAGCAAAGTCGTACTCACACTTGTACCGTGTTTAAGGCTCTTGCCAAAGGCAGACGCAATCTTGTCTCCTTGCCATGATAAATTTCGCGGCATTGTTCCGATATCAGACAAGAGGGATTAGTCACAACAACAACAAATGTTGTTGAAAATTTTCAAAAGATACTGCGATGTCATCCAAATAATTTAAAGCAAGCTGAATTTGATATTTATTTAAAATTTGCCTAAGAGCTCTTTGAAAAACAGCTGGGGAGTTTCTCCAGGCATGAATTTTAAAGACTAAAACTGGTTTTAAATGCAATTGTTTCAGTATTTTTTTTTTTTTCATTTAACTTTATAAGCCAATAACCAGATATTAGATCTAACGCACAAAACATTTTGCATTCGTTATTTGGTTTGTAGTGCATCTCTTCTAGGTATCGGTTCGAAATCTGTTTAACTAATTGTATAAAGTTTCCTGTAATCATTACATAACTTAGTTTTAGCCTTTTCATCTCTTTGATGGGCTAAAGCTACACGAGCAGTGTACAGGTTAGATGGTGTGTTTATGATACCTGCAATAATTGTATTTGTTTTCTAATTTGATCATTATCTTTAGGGTATAGTCTGTATGGTCAATAAATTACACGAAGTTCTGAAGTCAGTAATACTCTTGGATTTTTAATACACCGCCATAATGCTTACTTTTTGTAAATATATGACTTTAATTATTTAATAATTCTTTCAGCTGGCTATTTACGGAAGAATTTCCACTCAGCATTTTCTATGAAAATAGTTCTTTCATTCTCAGTATTTTCACATAACTTTCAGAAATAGCTCTTAAAAAGTATACTTAGACATATATATTTGTTTATACTTCTATAAAACTGATAAACCTCATAATCAGTGAAACTCAGTTGCAATGTAAACAAACGAACAAGGGATGATGACAATGATAAATAATTTAAATGAGAATTTACAACATTAAATTTAAAATGTTACATCTTTTTACTCTTCCAGTCTTGCATGACAATTTAATTTATTTAGTGACAGGAAACCCTCTAAATAGGTAATAGCTTTCTTGAGTTTCAAACCCGAGAGTTTCAAAATTGTCAAGACAACTTAAAGTACTTTCAGAAATTACATTTCAGACTACATGTATCTATAACAGCAAGGGAGTCTTTATTCCCTACCTTAACATTAATTTTAAAATATTGTTGAATATATGAGACAGAAAATATATAAATCAAAAAATTATAATATAAATTAGAAATAACCCTTTTATTCTTCATTTTAGTTGAAGGACTTCCCCTCTCTATTCTAAAAATAGTGATATATTTTTCTTGACTGCGTCACATCTAGATTAATCAATATCATACAGTATCATATGAGTTTTACATAGCGATGATGATGTAGCTAATTCGGAACTCAAAATTCCGGGAACCGAAACCTTTCACTTAATAAGCTTCCACATTTGATAACAACGCACTTTACTTCTATCTCTGTCGCCGCTAACACACTGCCGCACTGTTTTCATCCTATCTCAATCATATCAAAAATGTAAATATTCTAGAAATAGTTACCATTAGAGAGCCAAGTAAACTGCGGCCAACCAGAATATTAGCCAACCAATTTGATTCATTTCATCTTCTGAGCTACCATTAAGGTTAAAATGCGGTTTAGCCCACTGGTTGGCGATTGTTTTTCAATGGACAATAAACGCGCCAACATGGCTAACCCGATGTTTTGAAGCTGTGTTGTTATTCTGTTGCCACTAATGTTATCGCCCTGTGTTATATTTAAGAAATTAAATATAAAAAATCTGCATAAATGTTTCTCGCATTGTGATAAAACAACGGTACCTAGAGCCATCAAATTTTGAATAACATACGTTTCCAACCTAATATGGGCATCTGGAAGCCCAAACTTGGAATTTTTTTTATTATCTGATTGATATTTTGTAAACTTGAACGAAATTTTTATTAGCAAACTGAAAGATTTCAAAGCGAGCACTGCAACACAGTACGGGAAAAAAAAAAAAAAAATTTACGTGCAACGCAAAACTGTGTATCAGAAATTCTAAAGTAGCTCATTTAAATTATTTTCGATATTGCTGTTGAACTGATTTTATGGTTTAAGTGTAAAAACATTATATGCTAAGAAATGTAACACGCAAAACGTTAAAAAAACGCCCTTGGGCGTAATGTAATCTAAAAGCTTCATTTCTTTTTTTTATTTATTTATTTTGTAATTCTGTTGCGTTTTGATGTTCTTATGTGGTTCTTTTTTAATCGAGTGTTTCCCCCCCTGTGGGTTTTAGATTCTTCTGCATATATACGGAGGAAACGGCGATAACGTTTTTGTAATTTATTTAAAATGAGGGGGGATCCAAAAGGTTTCCCCCTGATATAAATTCATATATTAAACCCCTCAAAAGACTGTACATTTTTCTTGAAAAGGTAGGAAAAAATTTTCTTGTTGTTCGTTTTAAAGTGCTTATTTTAATATTTTGATTTCTTTTTGCGTCAATCTAGAGAATTGGAAAAGTAACGTTTGCCATTCTTGATTTTTTTTTTAATGAAATAGATCGATATTACATGGCAAAGCAAGCAGTGCGCAATGCGACGTTGTGCGCGATGCCGAGTTGTGCAAAATCTGGGATGTTTTTTTAGGAAAATAGATCGATGTGCACATGGGCAAAGCCAATGTGTGCCAAGCCGATTGTGCATTCTGGGATTTTTAAGTGAAATAGATCGAGTGCACATGGGCAAAGCCCATGTGGTGCGCCTGCGAGGTTGTGCGATTTGTGCAATTATGGATTTTTTGAATGAAAATATATGATGTGCACTGGGCAAAGCCAATGTGGGTGCGCTTATGGACGAGTTGAGCAATTCTGGGGATGTTTTTTAAGTGCAATAGATCGATGTGTAACAGGGAAAGCCGATGTAGCCAAGTTTCAATTGTGGCCAAAAATATTATCGCCCTGTATTATATTTAAAGGAAATTAAAACGATTAAAAATCTTATAAATGTATGTATGTTCCGCATTTTTATAAACAACGGTACCTAGAAACTCAATTTAGAATAACGTCATCCGCCTGCGAATATTGGCAATCTGGCAGCCAAAGTTGAAATTTGAATTTTTTTATTATCGTTTCATATTTTTGTAAAATTTTAACGATTTGATTAACATACGAGGAATTTTAAAGCAAGCAATGACAATGCTCTACAGATAAAAACATTTTATCTCCCGCCAGAGCGAGAGCTGTGTATCGGAAAATCTAAAGATATGGTGATTTAAAATTATTTTGATATTGATGTTGACTGAATTTTACGGTTTAAGTGCGAAGGACATGGTATTAATAATAAAGGGTAACACCAAAGTTTAAAAAACTACACCTGGGGCGGAAGTAAAATATAATTTCAGATTTATTTTGTTTTTTTATTCATAATTTGTTGTCTTATAATTTCCTATCGTTGACAATATTACTATCGTAGCTTTAGATATCGAAAGCCAGGCTTTCACAGCGTTTTTTAATAACTAGATACGATAAATTCTTCGAAAGACACAAATGTCCGAGACAATTGAAAGTGCAGCGATAATTTATGCTTTCCAACTATACTTGTAGTTAAAAAGAATTTCAGCAGACGATTTTTTGGAATTTTTACTCGTAATTTCAGCAGTTAATTTTGCCGTTTGAATGTTCGATGTGGTAGTGATCAATCGATGGATTTATCTGTGTGTTTTTGCCATTTTTCGCATATATTTCGTTCAATAAATAACGCTTGGATTATCTGTGATGCGGAGAGGGGGAGTGATGTACAGTAAATTTATTACTTTTATTAGAAAGCAAGGGGGAACCGTCCGTCATGTCAAAAAGACCTGTTTATTTTCCTGATGAAAAGGTGCTGATTTTTTTCTTTTTTTCTTTTTTTTTTCTTCCATTGTGAGAAATTAGATATTAAATGATTATTGTGTAGAATTCTAATACGACGTATAGAACGTGGTGTAGGAATTTTAAGAAACATGAATGAAAGCGGGTTTGATGTGATATTCAATATAAATATTGTTCCTTTTTTATTAATATAAAGCTTAAAAATATTTTTAGAAAATAATGAAGATTGTCTACTTACTGGAAGGTAAGGGATGCTGTCGTTACCTAGCAATAAGGTAATTTTGTAAAGATGATAAAGTTAAAATGTTCCGCCAATGAAAATAAAATTAAAAATCATCGTTTTATTTGTAAAATACTAAAGCTTAAAATATTCGCACGTATGAGAGGACTGCGACGTTTGTTTAAGTTTTAATAACTGTACAATGAACTTACCGTATTTAATAGTTTGAAATACAAAAATTTAGTATATTATTTCTACATCTGTAGAGAATACATTGTGACGTCACAATCTTAGTCCCACCATTTTGTGAACGTCACATAGCTCCGCCTTCGCAACTTTGTTTATACAACGTTTACTGGCGATTTTCAAAAAATCGCCAAGCAGTGGGCTAAAGCACATTTTCACCGAAATTAAATTATAAGGTATTTTTTCCCTCCTTCCAGTATGCCTTTGTGATGTAACGGTAGCACACTCAGCCTGTGTTCGGGGAGGTCCAAGTTTCAGTTTCGTCGAGGGCATTTCTCAGTTTTCATGTACTGCTTGCAGCTCAAAAAACCTAATGGCTCTACAAAATATTTGGAAGAAATTATCTGGGAAAGGTAATCATACAATCTATGGTTAACCTAAAGAAATTATTAAATACACTACGTTATGATTTTGCATAACTTTAGTTTCGTAAATCATTCATAGCTGAAAACAAATCATTGTTTATTTTGCTCTAATGAAATTTTTTGATTCAGCTCTTGACACAGATTTTAAGAAAAAGTTAGTGAATATAAATATTTATAGACAGTAAGTGAAAGAACACATTTCTTACCTATAATAGTATCAGTTTTCTGTGCATTCTAACATCAGTTAAATATTAAAAACCCGTCAAAATATAAATACCTCGTTTTACGTATCATGTTTGCAAACACAGTGATATAACATTTACATTCGAAACCGATTTATTTGGTTTTTTGTAAGCAAATCCCTTAAACATAGTTCAAATAAAACCTGAAAAACTCTGCGTTGCAGCAACTTCACATGCATCCACGTGACTTTGTTTATACTCGTGTTTCTCAAACAAAATTTTAAAATATGTGGCTATATCGTGGATATTGTAATACTAACAGATGGAGCGTGTTAACCTGTCCAAGCATATATTTTTGATTCCAATAAATGTCTGTGGCATTTAGTAAATTGAAATAAATGTGTACTTTCTAATTATCTGCTCCACGGTTTCAACATTCGTCGGAACTCCTCTATTTTTTATGTATTTTCGTGTTTAAAACCTGCATATTAAGTCAGGAAGTTAAGAAATTGGAGTTAAGGAGTAGTTGAGTTTCCGTCTTTCCTCCATGGTACACAAGAGACTACAGACAACCCCAGACGCGCCTACCTTACACGTATCTGAATGCATATACAATTGTATGCTTTATATTTAACTGCACAATATCTACCACTGTAAAAATACAAATATCCGGCGTAGAATTATTTTGAATCAAGCTTAATTTTTTATATTAAGGTCAACTGTGATGTACATAAAAAAATTCTTGTT